TAACCTCCGTGTGGTTCGACCCCGGTCTTGCCGGGTTATTTATTACTTCGACACTCCTGCACTTGGGAGAAGACATCAATCTTTTAGTCGTGTCACCCGACCCCCTTCTTTTTTTTATCTTTTGTTTTGGGACTGAGTCTAGCCCAGCCCGCATAGGCTGGGTAGACCCAACCAGCCCAACCCGATCACTGGCCTAAGCCATTGACCCGGTTGGACAGCAAGCATGTGTGGTTCAAACCACGTGTGCACTGCACAGGGCAAAAGTAATTTGGCGATGATGAAGGTAAAGGCGGAGACAAAGCTGAAAGTCAAGGTCTTGTCTGGAGAATGCTTTTTCCCCTCCTGCTCTAGTGTTTTCTTTTAGTTATGGGTTTTCTTTGGGTTTTTTTTTGTTCCCCTGTTCTATGCTCTCTGTCCTCTTCTTTGTTCATGTGATCCTCTGTCTTTTATAGGTTGTCATGCTGCTTATCTTCCCAGGATCACGATAAGGTAGGGAGACATTGTGTTTCAGTCAGATTGAGGCACCGACAGTCCTGTCCCTATTGGACTCTTTTCTATAAGCACGAGGGTGTGAAAATTTTATCCTCATCTCTCTGGAGTTGTGATCTTTACAAAGATAAGCTTTGCAAATTGAGTTTTGGTTGGATTGGGATGCTGGTGTTTCACTATTTTCGTTCCTTCTGTGCAGGCGAGCTTCTAGCATCCGAGGAAGAGGAGGAGAAACAATGCATGCTTGAAACAGTGCGTTTCAGACTGGAAATGATCATTTCTCAATTTGGTCCTCCAAGTTTTAACACTTTAATTAGGTCTCTATCTAAATTTTGGCATTTTTTACAAAATGATTCCTAGACCTTAATTACTTATAATTTTATCCTTAATCAAATCAGAAATTTAATATTAATTTGATTATTCACCTGATTTCGTTAATTAAACTACTTCTAAGTTTAATTAAATCCTCAAACTTATCCTTTTTTCAATTAAACTCTCGATATCATTAATTAAACTCAATCAAAGTTTAAATGAAATTCCATACTAGCTAATTTTTTTAATTTCTTTAAAAATTAACTTTTAAAATCTTAAATTAACATGATTAAACCCATCAGAGCTTTTCATTTGTGTTGTTTTGATCCAAATCTCAATTTTTCATTCATTTTTTTTTAAATTTTATGTTGTCTAAAATTAGATTATAACACTTATTATGAAATGCTTTTTTATTTTTGTGCCTCACCATATTTTTTAACAAAAAAAAAAGGTTTTATTTTTCATGTAGTACAAAACATAAAATAAAAAAAATAAAAAGTGTTCTAGTATTATGATATAGGGTGTTTTTTAATTAAAATATATCAAAATAATATTTTTAAATTTTTTTATTTATAACTTTAATATATTAAAATAACCTAATTTAAAAAAAAGTATCAACTTAATATTTTTTAAAATAAAAAATAATTTAAAAATGACTTTAAAAAACCTATAACACAAAAACAATGACATAAAACACGCTCTTCCTCCGTTTAGAAATCGAGCGGGACGAGTCGTTCTTGTCTCTTTGTTTGTTTGAATTTCAAATACGAAAGGGGCACAGTGGAACATGCATCTGCGCAACACAAGGAAAAACCCACTAACCCACTATCAAAACCCACGTCTCTCTCTCTCCCCCTCTCGAGTCCATGTAAGCTCACTCCCTCTCTCTCGCTTTCTTTGGCTATTTTCCAAGCTCGGTTTCTTCGAAAAATTTGTACCTTTTGCAGCTCTAATGCTATCTCAAGCTACATTATTGCAAGTTTGCAACATTCTTAAAGTTTGCATCTTTCAAGTTTCAAGAGTTTAATTGCTCTGCTTTTGAGCAAGAAAGTTTTAGTGATGGGTGCATCAGGAAAATGGGTGAAATCCCTTGTAGGTTTGAAAAAGTCTGATAAAGATGAAGACCATGTAAGCTAAACCACACTCGTTAACCAAACAAATCCAACCCTTTTGTTCTTTAATGTAGTAATAGTGAAGCTAATGATTTATTTATTTTTCTTCTGTACGAGAAGGTAAATCTCAAGAGCAAGAAATGGAAGCTATGGAGAAGCTCATCTGGTGACTTGGGGTCTTCATGGAAGGATTTTAAAGGGAAAAATAGAGCACCGTCAGAGGCATCGGGTTCTTCACCATTGACTGATCCATTCAGTACTGCAATGGCTACTGTGGTTAGAGCTCCTCCTAAGGGTTTTAGGGTTGTCAGGGAAGAGTGGGCTGCTATCAGAATTCAAACTGCTTTCCGTGGATTCTTGGTAAATGGGTTTCCCTTTTTGGTCTCGGATCTCTTTTAAGTGTTTGTTTGCTGAGAAAATGGAGTAGGAGGGAGGGAAAGTTGAATGTTTGTTATTTTATGAATTGGGTTTGGCATTTACTGTTTTGTGGAAAATTAGGAACTTTCTCCCTCTTTCAAGGAGGAAAAAAATGGAACCTTTTGAATATACCTTACTGTTTGATTGCTGAGAAAATGGCAGAAAAGAGAGTTTGAATGTTTTTGACTTCATGATTTGGATTTTTGCCTTTTCTATCCATGGACAGAATAGAAACTTTCTTCAAGCTTTGAAATTGACAAAAATTGAAGACACCGTACATCTGAGTTAAATTCACACAAAGTCCGTGTTAATGCGTAACCACTAAACAGTGCGAAAAAAGCTGATTTTTTTTTTTATTATTATTATCATTGACTCTTTCTTTGCGATCTAACTGAATCTTAAGTGAGCAAATGAAACACTAATCGAACAAAGAAAACAGGTACTATGAGAGACGAATTTCCAGATTTAAAGCAAAAACATGGACATAATACTTGGCAAATCAATTTACTATGGTTGTTGAACAAGTGAGTGATTGGTTCTAGGCAAGAAGGGCTCTGAGGGCTTTGAAAGGAGTGGTGAGACTCCAAGCTATAGTTCGAGGTCGACTAGTGAGAAAGCAGGCTGCTGTGATGCTTAGGTGTATGCGGGCTCTTGTTCGAGTTCAAGCTCGAGTCAGGGCTCATCCTGTGCGAATGTCTATAGAAGGGCAGGCAGTGCAGAATATGCTAAATGAGCGACATAGCAAGGCTGATCTCTTGAAACATGCTGAGGTATCAGAAAAACCACTAAATAGATACGTGCTAATGATCCATTTTCATAGTCCTTAGCATTAGCTAGCTATTTCAACCCTTCTGCAATGCTCTAAGGAGTTTGATTCGATTTCAGGAAGAGTGGTGCGATGGCACGGGGACATTGGAAGATGTGAAGTCGAAACTGCAAATGAGGCAAGAAGGAGCCTTAAAGAGAGAGAGAGCAATTGCATACTCCCTATCTCAAAAAGTATTCTGCTATCATATGTTTTAGTGCCTTTTTCACATATGCTAACCATGTTCACTAACTAATTTATTTTTTCAGCAATGGAGATCAAACCCCAGCTCAAATATTCGAACCAATAGCTCGGTATACTCATTCAAGAATCAGGAGTTTGATAAGAATAGCTGGGGATGGAGTTGGCTTGAACGCTGGATGGCAGCCAAGCCATGGGAGTCTAGATTGATGGAGCAATCCCACACTGATCCCTCAGTGACTCCATCGAAGTGTTGTGTAGATGTGAACATACATTCAAAATCCTCTGAACAAAGTTTAGTGAAAGTCAGAAAGAACAATGTAAATTCTAGAATTTCAGCTAGGCCTCCAATTGGGCATATTACTCGCGCATCTTCCAGTCCAAGTTCTGAATACCGCTTTGATGAGAGTTCAGGTTCTTCATCAATTTGTACGTCAACAACACCAATATCAGGAAACACTGGCTTGGCCTCTGATAAAACAGAGAAGAGCGGGGACAGGAGGCCAAATTACATGAACTTGACCGAGTCAACCAAGGCAAAGCAAAAAACATCTGCTCATTTATCTCATAGGATCCAAAGGCAGTCTATGGATGAGTTTCAGTTTCTCAAAAAGTCAGGAGCTTTCTCAAATGGATATTCGAAAAGCAGTGCTGGGTCTGATCCATCAGTTAATTTATCTAAGCCAACTAAGAGGAATGGATCATTTGTATGATTAGATGGGTTGATTAAGAAGTTTCAACAACTTGTTGTACTCCGTTGTTGAGATATGTGTATTAATTTAGAAGCACTTCTTCAATCATTATTGGCAAGCTTGAGCTAAGACAGCTTGGTGAGTTACTAGTGTTTTGAGGCTATCCCTTCTGTTAAATAGTTAATTTTGGTTGTGCATGTGATCTTCACCAGTAGCCTCCAACTATCATACCAAATTGTGACAGATAAATGGATTTTTGCAGGACCTGAATTGTTCTAGGACATCTGTGCCAGAACCTTCAAATATCGTGAAATCACATTAGTATTGTGGCGTGTTTTCTCTGTCAAGAAGTGAGATTTAGCTTGGAACAATCTGTTCCTACTAAATCAAGGCCACAGATAATTGTATCTCAGAATATGCGTTGGATAAAAATTTAGTTGCTCAGAAAGCATGTCCTTTCCATGTACTGGATAAATTCTATTTACCGATAATCTTTTTAGTAGATTTATCAACATGAATATGTTTTTTTAATATTTATTTGAAAGCAAGCAGCAAGCTCTTTCCATGATAATTCTTCGTACAGGAGACATTTCTAGGTGATAGGAGATCTTTCTAAGAGATTTGTCGAAACAAAGATGTTACAACCCAGCATAACAATCTTCAAGTTCGTTTTACTATTCTAAGCTTTACGCCATGCCTGAAGTTCAGAACTATGCCAAATTCAAGTTCAAGAGGTTTTTCCATGTTAGGGGAATGTCGAAATAAATATTTCCGGTATAAATGTATCAGTGAGAGTTTGATTTCTTGTATGGAAAATTTCTGGCCAATACAAGCTCTAGGTCCAAGTCCAAAGGGTATGAAAGCATAAGGATGCCTTCGTTTCTCTTCTTCACAATTTGGATCAAACCTCTCCGGCCTGAACTTGTCTGGCTCTGGGAAATTCTTGGGATCTTTTGCTAGAACTCCAGGTGCTAACCAGATCCATGTACCCTGCTCGTCAAAAAAGAAAAGAAAAAGAAAATGAAAGAAGTAATGCATCTAAAACAGTAGGTGTTGTAGTTATAGGTACATGATCAATTATACCTTTGGGAGAAGATAACCTCCTATCTGTACTTCTTTCGATGTTTCTCTTGCAATTAATGGAGAGACAACGTAAAACCTCATTGCCTCTTTAACTACCTGCAATTAAACTATAAATCAAAAAAATCGAACTCCACAGTTCGATAACACACACCATGAAACATGGAGATCAAATTTACAATGAAATGGACATCATTGTAGGTCAGATAAATTGGAGAAAATAATAACTCGACATCATTGACCGATAGAAAACTCGTAGTGAACTTCAAGACTTGCCTGGTCAAGATAGGGGAATTCGTTTTGAAGATCTTGAGCTGTTGGCATCTGCTCATGAGGACCAAATCCATCAATTTCAGCAAGCAGTTTCTTCTCGACTTCCGGATGTTGAGCAATTAAATAAACAACTGAAGATAATGTGAATGCTGTTGTAGCTGATCCTGCAAGCAGATGCTCATAAGTAACTGCACTGATATAGTCCGGAGTGAAAGCATTCTTTGACAGAGTCTCTGATTCCCTTGCCCGTAATATGAGTGACAAGAAGTCCTTTGAACCCTTATTTTTCTCTTCCATTTTCTTTCTAACTATCTCCTCAAGCCGGCCACTTATATTCTTATTAGTCCTATCAACTTTCCAGTCCATAGTGCCCGGAATTCTCTTAAGGATCTGCCTAAGGGGCTCCTGCAGTATTGGGACAAGTAGACCAAGAATAATAGAAAAGGAACCTGATAAGTCCATCTTAAGTTGTGTTGTTGAGTAGATATGCTGTTTAATGAACTCTGAGACATCAGTGTTGTCTTTTCCGTGGCTATGGATACTGTTGACGGAATCACTGGTTGATTGTGGTTTGGAGAGGCCAAAGTCAACACCGAATGCAGCTTGTCCTATTACATCTGTGGCCAATTTGAGGGAGAGGTTGGAGAAAGTGATATCTTCTTCTTTAAGAGATTGGATATTCTCGGTTGCAGACTCAATGAATGATTGCATTGTGGGCACTAGGCTGGCCAAGTGTGATGGCTGGTAGACTGACAGTATTGAGTTTCTCATGGTTGACCATATTGCATCCCTGCAAGATCAAATTTCACCAGAAACTTTTGAAAATCCGCTCATAATCTGCTTTTACCTGTATACCATTTGGGTGAAGCCTTGGTGAAAGTAAATGAATGAAAAGATATATACAAGAGAAGCACGCATGTTCCTGTAGTCATGTTACAAATTACCTGGTGAAGAAGAGACCTTTCTGATGAAGAGGTGAAGCTGAGATGGGAGAGGGTATACTTCTATTTGGGATGTCTTTGAACTTCTTTATTCCAATTTCTCTACAAAGCTCTGGGTCAGCTACTATGATCAGTGGTTGTCTCCCCATATGAAACCTGCTCCACACCAGCCTAAAATTTAGTCTGTTTTTCAATTCCAAATTTGTCAGTAGCCTAACCGAGTTTCAGTGTTTCACCATTTTAACCAAAAGGCTCTAGCAAAACAATAGCCGTTATGTAGATATTACATTTGACATTCAATATCAGATTCAAATCCACAAGCTACACTTGTATGAGACGAGTGCACAAGTTACAAAATGTTAAAATTTTGTTCTGTTTTCCTGATCAAGTGGTCATTGTTTCATGTTCTATTCATATTCAAGCGAAGGTAGACATTAATCTCTCCACTTCCATCAACCTTTCTTTCTTCTCCAATTACGAAGTTAGAAGAGTATAAAATATATTTAACCTGTCACAAGATGTCTTTCCAGAGACCGTAACATCACATCTCATTTTACTGAGAAACCCACAAAAAAGAGAAGCAAAATTGGACTTTAAATTAATCCTCTAAACAAGCTCAAAGTCGAAATCACAGAGAATGAAGCAAAAGCTAAACGTTCAAGAACTTTCACCAGCTTTAACATGGCAGGAAATTTGAAGATTAAAGGCAGCAAGCTGACCTGAAAATGGGGCCATAAAGCTTTGCAAGAAGTGTGAATACATCAGGGCCATGCTTTGCCATCAAGGGAAGGTGACCCAACAAGGGGATCACAGTCGGGCCTGGTACCTTCCTAACACCCCAGTAGGGCCCATACAAGTAACCCAATAGGCCTAATAGCATAGCCAACACTGTGCATAAAGGTGTGATTATAGGTGTGAACAATACCTGTAAATCCGTACTCATCGTCCTTTGGAGAGTATTAAAGCACTCTAAGCTGATGCTTCGTTTCAGAGATTAGAAGAAAGGGGAGAGCCATGTTTATAGCCCTACCAAAAAGGTGGGGAATGGAGAACAAGTGGTTCTCTCTAAGCATCTTTTTGGGCACTATGTCTTTGTCGGTTTTCTGAATCATTATACCGGTGACTCTGTCTTTGATGCCCTTACCCTGTACATTATTTCTCAAGACTTGTTTATATACTTTTTTAGTGTGCAAGATAATCGATCCCCTCAACTTTTTTACATGGTCTATTCAAGGGGTGGTGATTTAATATTGAGAAAGCAAATACACACAAAATACAATTCGTATGGTTGGCTGGCGGGCACAGGAAGGAGGATCAAGTGACAAGGATATATGGATTATTCTTGTTTTGCCTTTGTCTTGTGAATAATCACAATCATTATTTTATATCTCGGAGATTTTTTTTTTACTACATGGTAACTCTAGTTTTTGCTGTGGTGGAAAAAATTGAGACAAGCATGATATTCCGCTAGTTATATAATCTGGTAACTTGATTTGATCCATTTTCCTATTATATTTTTTAAATAAAAATATAAAAAAAACCCCAAAAGATATTTTCAACTAATTCAACTAATTTTTAGCTATTTCATAATGACTTTTAAAAAATCAAAAACATTTTCTAAAAATAATTAAAAAAAATAAAGAAAAAAGTTTAGGATAACCACCTATCAACAACTGTGACAACCATTGTCATTAACCTCACGACACCCATCATAGCAGTAACAACAACCGTCTATCAAAATAATAGAGAAAGAGAAATAAGAGAATTGAAAGGATGCTGAAAGTTTTTCAAGCAACAAATCTCCCATTCCAAGCAGTGGTGGATTTCTTCGCCAATACACAAGGACAAGTAAGCAGACGCACACCCATCCCAACAATTCACGCGCCCTAAGCTTCTTCAGAGTATGAATACACGTGCCAACAGCCTTCGCAACGCGCTATAGTGTATTAGACATGCGACATCTTTGTTGAAACAATTCCAATAAATTCTGATCAACCTCAACCACTTGAAAAGATAAATTTTGAACCCTTCATGAATTTTGGACAATTTTCAACATGATTTTGAACATTATAATAAATTATTATTGGTTTTTTAAAATAATTTTGAAATCAATTATGTATTATTGTAAATAATTGTGACATTTGAAGTGTTGTGATCCACTTTGTTGTGTGGCAACCTTTATAATTTGATGCCACTAGAACATTTATTTATAGTAGAATAAGATTGAAATCAATAATTTATAATGGGGCTAGGAGGATTAGAATGTAACAAGTTTATTTGATATGTAATGGCTTTGTTTCAATGTGAAATCTGTGTATTATTGTTTTTAATTGTTATTTTGTATTTGTAAGTTGTTTTTAAATTGTTTTATTTTGATGAAATTAAATTTTTTGTTAAAACTCTTATGTGTGTTTGTTTTTTTCAATGTTTGTTCATTAATTATGAGTTTTTGTTATTAAATATTGAAAAAAGTTTGATTTGAAAAAAAAATTTGTTTTTATTTGTTTTGAGGGTAATGGCTAACAAAAAAAATATTATTTATGATTTTATGTGTTAATTGTTTCCACTATCTATTAGGTAACCTCGGATGGTACATGTACAATGTTGGCCCCTGTACCTTGGATATTGGTTATTAGGTAATATAATCATTTAATACATGACCAATTGAAGATATGATTTTAAATTTGTTTTTATATGTTAATTATTTTTATTATTTATTGAGATTCTTAGGATGGGATGTGTGAGATGTTGGACCATGTCCTTTGGATGTTGTTTATCAAGTAATAGAACCAATTAATATATGATCTTGCTTTTTTTTTTTTAAATATGAATTTAAACTCATTTTATTAATTATTTCTATTACTTATTGGGCAACCCAATATGACATGTGTTTGATGTTGAACACTATCTTTCAAATGTTGTTTGCAGGTAATAACATCAATGAATGTATGACCTTTTTTTTTTAAATATATGTTATTTAAACCTGT